TTGGTTTGAGTTTGGTTTGAGTTTGGTTTGAGTTTGGTTTGAGTTTGGTTTGAGTTTGGTTTGAGTTTGGTTTGAGTTTGGTTTGGGTTTGGTTTGGGTTTGGTTCGAGTTTGGTTTGGGTCTGGTTTGGGAGGGCTCGGACCAACATCGAACAGAGATAAGGAGCAAGGGCAACCCCATTCAGCTTCTGGCGACTTTGTAACTTGAAAGCAGCAGCCTGGGACTTGTTGCCGGTGCTAATTAGAAAAAAGAGCAACAACTTCGCAGCTTTTTGATAACTTTCCAACTTGAAATCAGCACCCTGCGGATTTTTTACCGGTGCGGATTAGAAAAAAAAGCAACAACTTAGCAACTTTTTGGCATCTTTGTCAGAAAAATGAAGGGCAAGAAGCAGGAAACGCAAGGACCGAAAGGCACTGACAAGACCATCACTCCATCCTGTTTCTCCTCAAATATTCTTTTACTGTTGAGCAACCACCGCGCCAGGCAAGAACAAATTACATACATCCGCAAATTCGTGCACTTAGGCACCTTGTAGTTTATTTTTCCTCCTCTCAGGCCCTATGCCTCAAACTAACAGCAAGAAAGATGATTTTTGGTGCATGTTCTTCTATTTCGCTCGTCATTGTTGACGCCAAAAGCACCGGGGGCTTCTTGTCATTCACGGGCAAGAGAAGAGCACGAACAAATCACGGACTTTCGGCCCACTAGAAGAGGTTTTTTCCTACTCTTCTGGGGGGGGGTAGCACTCAATTCTTGACTACAGAGGAGTATACTCCATCCAAGATCGGGGCCAGAAATAGATACTGAGTAAAAATATAGGACCGGAAATAGATACTGAGTGAAAATATCGACCGAAAATATACCCTACTTTTTTCGGTCGTCTTTTTTAAGGGCTTGCGAACGGGGTCAACTTTGTACTTGTAAAGTCGGAGAAAAGCTACGTAAATGCTCTGCTTGCAAGGTGGCCACAGTGGGACCAGGGTCGGCCTGGCTGGTCGATACAGCCACGACCGCAAGGCTTCTAGTGGGGAAAGATAACTGGCTAACGGCCTACTGCCTGAGTTTTCAAGTGGCTACTTCAGAGCCTCAGCGGGGATCTGCCCCACGGGAAAAACTTCAGGCCATGGGGTATCTTCTGCCAGTTCTTCGCCTGTGCTAGCGCCTGGTCTGCTGCATGTTTTTCAACACTGCTCCTTTCTTTTTTCAGACCAGGCCGCGCAAAAGTTCTAGGATCCTTCGGTCGATCACGCCCCTGTTTACCGCCATCCACAAGGCCAGCGGCTTGCTATCACGAAGTAGCTTCGTCAGAGCGTCGACGAAGTTGAGACGCCCAGGAATATGCCGAAGGATCAGTAGTCTCTGCTCGACCAGCTGCTGCACGCTCTCCCAGTCCGGTCTGATGTTGCGCTCATGCGGCTCGCCTAAGGCGTTCTGCGCATCAGTCAGCTGGATCATCGGCGTCGCTGTCGTGGTAAGGTGAAGATCGAGCAGCAGCGTGGTAAGATAAATCATCTCGGATGCCAGCATTCGCTGAGCCAGAACTTCAACAGCAGTGGACGACGAGAAAACGCGCTTCGGTAGCTTGCTGAATGTTGAGACTGTTGTTACGCGCGAGGACTCCGGGCCGAAAAGGTGTGTCCCCCCAGCTGCTCGCCGTTGTGCCGCGTCACCACAACCAAGCGGAACATGCTCGCCAAGGTCCCCCAAGCGAAAAATGCGTCGTGTGCTCCAGCCTGGTGTTCGTGCGAGGCGGATGAGGTTGTTGACATCCACTAAGAACGAGGCGACCAGAGGACTGTCAGGACTAGTCTCCTGCTCGACCAGGTGCACTATGCTTGCCAGATCTGAAAAAGTTTGAAGAATTACTGCGTTGCACTTTTGCAGCCATGCCACCTCACCCACGGGCCCGCGGAACGGGTTGCGCAGCTGTTTGAGGATGAACTTGCTGCTTGTTGCTGCACGACATTCCATAAACTTTGCTACATCCTCGCGCGTTACCAGCTGCATCTTGGAGGCGTAGGTCTCCTGCGTGAAGAGATAAACGACCGGCACTACGAGCTTATTGAGCTCCGGCACTAGTGCTGCGTCGAATTTGCGCTGCTCAGCTGCTGGATAATCTTCCACCACGACGTCTGCCCTGACGCCAGTTACCTGCTCAGCATGCTCCACTTCTTCGGTGCTTGGCGCTATGAAGCATTCTGCTGGTGGCTGGAAGTCTTGCTCTTCACGTTGTGCTTGTGTCTGCGCCATCTCCTTCACCAGCGCAAGCTGGTCAAAGACAAGAGGCCGAGCTACTACTTCTCTGCCAACAAAGGCATCACGCCGCCCAGGTTCCAAAACAGTCCATGATGACAATGTAAAACGTTCAAAAAGCACAGCAAGCCGCAAATAGAAAATTAGCCATCCACTTGAAACTGTGTCGTCGACGTGAACTGCCATTGCGCCAATCGGCGTCTCCGGGCGCTGAACATGATGGAAAAGCTCACGACCAATCCGCACTGTGGCTTGGTTGAGGAATTGCGGATCCTCGGCCTGCTGGAGCTGCTTGACTCTACCTGCTGTCTGCCCGTCGTCAAGAATGCGAACACGCTCGGCAACGCAAACTGCTGGAATTTTTCGCATCAGTGCTAGCTTCTCCCGATAGTACGCCTCCTCACACGCTGGCCCAGCAGTGATTGCTTTCTGCTCGTTCTCAGTCGGGTAGTAGACGAATAGTGCTGGATCAATAAGCGACTGCGTGAGCCCAATGCGAGTACACACTAGAAAGAGTTGCAGCTCCCATCCACGCGGCGCGTCCTTCTGACCATAAATGCACTTTTTTAGGCGCACACATTCGTCGAGAGGCTTCATGCCCGGAATGGTCATCTTCTGCAACACCTGTGGCACCTCGCAGTAGACCTCCTTGTCCTCCTCATCCCTATCGGGATAGATGTCATCAAACTCCATGCCCTGGATGAAAGCCTCCTTGAAGTCCGACAAGCTGAGTGGTTTTTTTACAGCCTGACCAAACTGTCTGAATGTCTCAGCGGTAAGCAGATCCATCCGTACATGAAGAGTGCTCAATATGGAACTATGGACGGAGTAATGGAGTGAATGAGAAGAATTCCTACAGAGCAAGGAAGCAAATGGAAAGCGGGACTGCGTTAGGAACTGTGATCTACAATAGTGTAGTTGCTCGAGGAGGCATAACAAGGTAATGCCGAGTGAAGGAGAAGCGGACAACTCGAGAGAGGTGAACTGAAGATGAGAAGGGATAAAGAGAAATGGACAAAGGGATAAAGAAGGGAATCAAGAAGAAAGGAAGATAGACCAAATAAGGAATATTAAAATCTGACCTCTTGCAGATATGAGTCATGACCTCAATGCGAACCAACTCAACCATAGTTTGGGTATCCCGTATTCCTGTATGGTCGTGTATCTTGTATGTTGGTATCTTGTATTCCGGTATGTTATCACTCTGTTATTTCTCATATTATCCTATGTAACATCAATCTGAGATTATTGTATCTATAATTGGTATCATCCTTTCGGCTTGGAATATTAGTATTCTGATTACATTTGCCATTCAAAGGAAAGAACAAATGCATGGGCCTTGTAGTGGATCTCTTGGAATTGGCAAGATGAATGCCACCATCTTGGGATAAGACTTCTCTCATCCCGCGGCAAATCTCACAGGAGATAGTTTTCCTCAGGTCTTCGAGTCTGAACTAATCCAGAGCTATTTGTCATAAAGGTTCTAGCAGTTGACAACTTGGGAGTGACATACAACGTGTTCGGACTTACTCTGAAAAGGGACACTATCACAATATCAGGTGGGATCGAGATGAACCATCCCATCAGGTCACGGAATGATCTCTGGTTCCAAGGGGAAGAAGATGATCATCACTGCGTCGGTAATCGGTCTCAATTGAGAAAGAGCCCAAAGAGTAATAGATTGCTTAGGCATAGATGGAGCACTAATAAGTATTATCATCCTCCTATAAGAGGAAGGAACCCTCAACGACAAGAGGGAAAGCAATCACGATCACTCACACTGGTAGCGGAGAATACCGCGCAGGATGTGTATTTTAATAACGATTCCTTCTTTCCCGAAATAGTAGAATTTCCGGAAATTTTTTTTAATCACGACTGCGAAGTAGATCACTTTTGGATACAGTACCTAATCCCATACCACAAAATGGGCAGTGACAACGATGACGCTGGCGGCAACGCAAAGCAAGTCCCAACGTTTGCGGGCGACTTCACCTTGCTTGAGACATATAAGAACAATGTCCTCCTCTACTGCATTAGAGCTTCAAAAAAAGAGGAAGGAGCCAAAGTGGCAGAACTCATCCATAAGCTGGAGCCATCCTTTGCGGATGATGTATTTCTGAAAGACAGTGTGCTGACAATGTCTTACCACATGAAGCTGGCTGTGAATACTACACATGGAATGACTGAGACGTCGTCATGGTATGGAGTGCGAGAGACGGTTTGGTACGCAGTACTAGGACGAAGTCTTCACACCTCGTTGAGGTAGAGAGATCAATGGAGGAGTGCAAAACAGAACTGAGGGTCAGTGCAACTGACGATACAAGACGTGCTAGGAGGTGTGAGGAAAAGGGTGGCAAATGGAGAACAGAAGGTTACTTGATAGGTCTTTGCACTTTCTCATCATGAAGCAATGGAATGTGAATATGACACTATAGTTTGGTATGGGTATGGTACTCCGGGAAGAGTAAGGTAGGTAGTAGGTAGTATCAAAGTACATGGACCCCAGGATGGGGAATGGTATCTTGTTCTCTCTCAGATGGTGTCGCCTTCTGTTCTGTACGTTGATGTACTGTGTAGCAGGGAGCGCAGCTCCACAGCATCAAGAAGTCTTGAGCCGTTGGAGCCAAGACTGGAGGAGTTGGTATAGGCCTAAAAGGCCAGTGTTCGTCCGAAGAGCTCTTAGTGGTCATGCCGAGGGCATAAGATCCTTTTCATCACAAGATCCAGGAGATAGTGATAGGAGAAACGCTTCTGGATCAATCACACTGGTAGCGGAAAAGCCTGACGCGGACCTACGCTCTAAGGGTCCTTTCAGGACGAAGTTTGCAAAAATTTTTTTTACAACACGACGTGTTTATCAGATTGACAGTCTCCTTCTCTCAATAATAGGTTTATTATTAATTTATGTCAGAGAACAAATGGTGGACAATAATTGGGAAGATAAAGGGACGCCTGTCCCATCCTTTGATGGCGACATACAACTTCTAGAACAATATCGAAATGAAGTGCAACTTTATGCTATTCGGAGCTCAAAGAAGGAAGACCCAGCCAAGGTCGCAGACCTTATCAGCCGCCTGGCTCCAGCATTTCGAGATGATCTTTTAGCGCAGTATCCAGATGGTCTGGCATCAATACGCGAAGACCCAGAAATGCAATCCATCTCCAAATATTTAGAGTGCGTTGAAAACGCTTTGGTCGGAGAAAGCATGGGCACGAGAATGCTCTATCTGTACTCGCAGCTGAAAGCCATTAAACGGGAACAAGGAGAATCCTTGGATGCGTCAATGCGCAGGCTCGAACGAAAAGTGACGCTTTTCAGCCAAGCCATGCTGAGAACATGTAAGCAGCACGGTCATACACAGCGAGCAAAAATTTCCTTTGGAGGAGATGTGTGTCCGTTTTGTAACGAATTACCGGAAGACCATCCAGTCATGCCGAAAGGCGATGATCCGGGTGGAAGCTTTACACTAGATACGACGCATCGAGAAGTGTGTCCCTTGTCCGCTTTACAATGGATGTTCGCAGTAACATGCCCTGACATCACACCGGGCGAAATCCTCGTAGTCCCCAAAGAAACGTTCTCGGGCTCCTTGATGTCGATGACAGCATTAGGAAATCTCGGATTTTCGGACTCAGATGTAGTCAAAGTTTGCACGGACGTCAACGACCCTTTCTCCTGGCCGCAGGTCAAGAAGTACGTGAGTAACTTGAGACTAGCTGCCGGCATCTCCAACGCGACAAAACGTGGTCAAGAGCCTCATCATCTACTAGGTAATAGCCACAAAGCGCAAAACCCAGCATCCATTCGTAGTGTGGAAGACCAGGATGAAGAATGGTATGACTGGACGGAAGATGAAGTGGCCGCTTACCAAGCCGAGATGGAAGAGGACGAATATTACGAAGCTGAACAGGAGGATGAAACCTACGTCGAAGACGAACAAGTTGAAGGAGAATCCCTCGACCAAGCAATCAACTGGATCCAAAAGGGAAAGCAAGTATTGCAACGGAAAGGCTTCGGCAGCAAAGCCAAAGGAAAGAAAGGGAAATCGAAAGGACGTAAATCGAACGATCCGCTCCTGTTCTCAAGTCTCACACCAACCTCGTATCCGCGTTCCCAGTCCCGCTTCCCGGGCCTGGGGAAAGGTCCTCCAAGAACGTGGAATAAGAGCATGGCATCATCTTCTGCTAGTTACACAACAAGACCTTGGACCTCCAAGTCATCTTCTTCTTCGTCTAGTGGAACAAATTCCTATCGACAGACCAATTTCCCGCCGAAGGGGTCATACGCCGGGAGAATGAAACAGCAAAATAAGCCACATTCTGTGCGTTGGGCTCTCGTTACAGATGATGATTTAGAAGGGATACAGGAAGTTCCGGCTAACCACGTGGATACACCGGCGCTGTCTACGACAGATGGAGATGGACCAAACAAAGAAAATGTGCCGACGACACATGAAAAATCGGACATTATGGCGAAGCACGCGCTTTCGGTGATGAAGCAGGACCAAGAAGTCGCAGGCTCTCAAACGAATACGGCCATGCTCGCAGAGATGGCACTAAAGGACCCTGTAATTATGCCACTTCAAATGTCTAAAACAAAAGTTTGCTGGGAACAGAGCATAGCTGAAAGCACGTCACTAACTAACGCAATGGACTATAAATCTAAACGCGAAGAACTTGAATTACAACAAACTTGTCACCAACTTATAACCCATGACTGGGCGACGCCCTCTCCAACTGAGACACATGACTCTTCTCACCAAACTACTCCAACGCCGTTGGAAGAGGTGCTGGCCATGGCTCAAGTCCAAAACCAGCCGGTGGCTTCCTTCTGTGAGGGAACATTTCCAAATCTCGGGTCAGTACGCCGCCTTTCTAGTGGACGTGAATATGAAATCCGAAACATTCCGTCTACCACGAACCACAAATATAAAGTGGGAGAGGTGGTAGTTGACAGCGGCGCAGCCCTGAACATAATAGGCCATTCTGAAATGTTAGAATGGCAACAAGCTCTAATTGAGCGGGATCGTGATCCTGGTATTCTCCTCCCGTCGTCCGTAAGACTCCGGTATGCGGGAGGGGGCCGTGATGTCTCTGCTGGGACTTGGATAGTTCCCTTTGTGTCACGAACATTTCGTGGCACCATAGCACTCGAAGTACTTCCCCAAGGGAAAACCGCTAGGATCACTCAAGTCCCATTACTTGGGCTGCCAACGCTGAAAGCCCTTGGTGCTCTCATCGACTTCACTACGAATACGATGGCGGTGAGAGAGTTTGGAACCGGAGCCGACGGCCAACCGACCTTGGTGCAGGAAAGGCTCGCGCCATTGTCATTTCGAGGGGCAAATACATACACTATTCAGTTATGTGACTTCTCAGTGGTGTCAAGGCAGGCGAGACAGATGATGAACCTCGTCTGCCCTGTTCACGTGATCGAGGAAGAATGGCGAATGCCATCCGTTCGCGACTTGGTGACGCAGTCATATACCGGCGGCCAAATGAGGATCAAGCCTGAGGAGCGCAAGAGGTTCTGCGAACGCGTTCATAGGCAGTTGGGGCATAATCGCCCAGCAGTGGTGAAACTGCTGCTCCAGGCAGGTGTTGACCCTGACACAGTCAAGGAGTACGGCCTTATGTGCGACAGGTGTGCGGCTTGCATACACTATCATCCCAAACCACGGGACTTCAAGGTGTCGGTGTCGAACTTTGCGGAGCATAGTGGGCACAAGGTGGGCTTTGACATCTTCATGGCAGATGTGAAGGATGGGCTCAAGGAGCCATTTATTCACTTTGATGACTATTTCGATAAGTCCTCTTCTATTTACCACCTCCCAAGGATGGACGTGGATGCAATCGAGATGGCATTTCTCGAGTACTCAAGAACTTTGCCATTTTACCCACGTGAGCTCTATTCCGATAATGCGGGCTCGTTTATCGGAGAACAGGGAAGGCGACGCTTTCTTCAGTACGTGGAGCACGTTGAATACGGCCCAGTCCACGACGCAGTGGCCCAGTCGGTCACAGAGAGACAGGGTGCAATTTGCAAGGCCCTAGTCAATAAGGCGATATACATCGCCCTGCAAGAGGGGCACGCTGCCCCCAACTTCGCACGGATTGCGGCACAGTCATCCGTAGCGAAGAATAATCTCCCACTCTCGAGTGGTTTGACTCCGGCACAGATTAAGTTCAGGACGATGCCGCGGCATGTCCTTCCCGGGGAGTTAATTCTGGAGGGGGTGACCGACGCTGTTGGATCCTCGCCGGTTGGCGCCCGAGAGGAGTTCTACTCTCGGGTCGTGGCAAAGGCCCTGCTGCAGATGCGGGCATGCCAGACTCTTCAGAAGGCGCTGAAATCATACGCGCCACGCTCGGAGACATTCGCCGCCGGGGATGTCGTTCATTGCTACAACGGGAACACAGGCCGCTGGGACCTGAAGGGCAGCGTAGTAGCTCCACAGGGCGACAAGTACTACATGGTAGCTGTTCATGGAAAGGCGCAGCCGATGAAGTTCTATACAACTAGGCTCCGGAAGGAGACCCCATTGGCTTTCGAGGTCGATGCTCAGATGGGGGATGGTGCACTACCTGGAGGGGGTGCGAGGGACCCTCCGGAGCAGCACCACGAGGGGGTGCGGCCTCAGCCGGCACCCCAGGATCCGCTGGCGGTTCCAAACGCGGACATGCCTGGGCGGGCAGGTCGTGAG